TTATTTTAAAAATATTTAAAATTATTATAAATAATTTTAATTATTAAATAAAATTGCAGGCAAATTTGCTTGCAAAATGCTTGAAAGGATAATAAAATTTATTACTATATAGAGATTTTATTATAAATTTCAATATTACATATACTGAACTCTAATTGTAAATCAGCTATAATTATTTATTCACAATAAATTAATAATGATATTTTTTTTATATATCAATAGTCATTATAAAAAATAATTTTTTTTAATTTAACAATTAATCATTCTTGTTATAAAATTTAATTTTTTTAATATATTAAATTTAGTAAAATATCAAATATTAAATAAATTAATATAAATATTAATTAAAAGATTTTATTTTTTTATTAATCATCTTTACCATATCTTTGAAAAAAAAGTAATACATTATTTATAGGATAAAAGCAAAAACTTTATCTCAAAAAATTAAATAATCAGAATCTTTAATTCAATTATATATAAATAAGTTTATTAGTTTCAATTAGATTTTTTTTTTCTCAAAATTTTACAAATAAAAAATAGTATAACATATAATAAACAAATAATAAATAATATAAAATAATAATTACACTGCATTTATTATAAAATAATGTTAAAATTTTAATATAATGAACTTTATTTTTTTATTATTTAAATTGATATATTAAGAAAAACTTATTATTCTGAATTCTTATTATAATGAATCAAAATCATTATTCAATAAGTTTGTTATATCAAATTCTAAATGTATTATATAATTTTATTTTAATGTATCTAATAATATAAAAATTATAATTAAAATAAAGTATTTATTTAATTAATTAGAAAAAGAAAAATATAACATATAAATTAAAAATAAATAATTCATTTATTTAATTTATATTATTTAATAATAATATTTGAATATAATAATAATATTTAATATAAAGATTTTATAAATAACAGTCACTGGAAATGTCACACGCAGATCATTTTTATAATTAATTGATTTTGTGTAATGTTAACCTGATCACTTCATTTTATAATTAATCGTCAAATTCCAAATCATACCACGTGTGTAAATTACAAAATTTATAGATCATCATGTGTTCTATCAATTTCTAATCGTTTCTTTCCATTTTAGTAATATTTTTTTAAAAATATATTTCGCGTAAAATTGCCTTAAAAATGAGTTTTCTCCAAGATTGAAGTTGAAACAGAGAGGAAAAAACATTTTTGACGATGGTAATATATGCAAATTTATGAGAAGAAAACATTTTTCTAGTTTAAAATAGTGGTTATTTAGGTATTTTTTGCGTAAAACGTAAAAAATCAAAATTTTACTACAATAATAATGATAAAAACAATAATACAAAGTCTTTTTAAAATTAAATACATACAAAACTCTTCTATTTTTATTAATTATCAATATACTCTTGCGTTTAAAACTCTTTTAAATTATATTTGTTAGCTATGATATTATTATGCTTATTGCTTATACCAATTTTCACCAATTTTATAAATTGATTCAATGATTTTTTAATTTTGTAAATAAAGGTAGGATGATTATTTTTCTTTTATATTGTCTGTTATGTAGACTGCTTTTTTTTGTGTCTGATATATTTATTTATTTTCTGTATAGATTAAATAACGATTAAAAAATGATCTCTTGATTTTTGTGACGTTGTGACGTTGAACGAAAATAGGTTGAATTTATTCATGTAAGTAATGTTGTGAATAGTGTCTTTCTTGTTTTTTTTTGTTCTGAGAATATAACCAACGTTTCTTTTCTTTTTTCTTTAGGGACAACATGGATACTTAAACAGGTAATTAAAAGAAGGTAGTGTTTTTAACTCTTTTATTATTCTTTATTTTTTTTTTTTGTTCTGGAAACGTAACTACCATTCCTTTTCATTTAGTTTTTTTTGTAAATTATTATAATTGTGAGTAGTACTGTTGGATAGGCTATGCGACATCAGTCAGATGATGTGTTCTTTCTTCCCCTTCCCTTTCCCTTTCCCTTTCCTCTTCCTCTTCCCTTTCCTTTTCCTCTTCTCCTTCTCCTTCTTCTTTCTTTTTCCGCTTCCTTTTCCTTTCTTGATTCTATTTTTCTTTCCTTTTTCATCTTAGTAATATCAGCAACTGTGACACGTGTAATATTTCTTGCCCTTCTTCCAACAGTTGTATAATTTTCTGTTAAAAGAATTTCTTGATTTACTATTGTTTGTAGTTTTTTAATTCCAATATCATATGTATTAACTAATTGATTAATTTCTTCATCATTTATATTGTTACAGAACTCAAATATTAGATTTTCAAAAGGATTTTCTGATTCAAAAGCATTAATCAATAAATGTGCAAGCTCCCAAATTTTTTCCTTTCGAGATTGAATATTATGTGGCCGGGAACTTTGAACAGAATCCCTAATGTAATCACAAATCAACATTTCTGTTCGCTCCTTTTCTAGTTGTGTGGCTTTTATTCTCAGTTTTAATTCTTCTCCATCTGCTGGAATTCTTATTACATTTTGCTTCACAAATTTTACACCAAATGTTTCTAGTGCCTCATCATATGCAAAAAAATATCCAGTACTTGTCAAATTAACTGATGGCGCTATACGAAGCATTTCACGAAGTTGAGGATCATTCTCTATACAATGAATATGATACATCACTGATCTAGCATAATTGGATTTTCCTGCAACAGGAAATAAAGGTGAGAAAGCTTTTAAACTTTCATGTTGTAAATTAAATATTCCCCATCGAATTCCAAACCAATGTGCGCGCCAATAGCTAGCCCATTGAAAATACAAATACCAAGCTTTTACAAAATTATTTTCTTCTTCCAAAATATTATCTAACGTCTATTTTTTTTCTTTATATATAAATGAATTGCTATACCTACAGAAATCAAAATTAGTTCCAGTACTCTTGAAGTTGCTCTGAAATCTACATCCTTCTCCAATTTATCCAAAAATCGTACACCTAACATTCCTGCCATGTTGAATATTCCATAATCTGAAAAAATCGTAATTAATGTCATCATCATATCCTTATTGGTATGCCATTGCCCAAGGATCATTTTTGTTTTTTTATTTATTTTACAATAGCTAATACCTCGTCTAAATATCGCTTCATCTACAACTACATGAATATATCTATCATTCTCCATGCCAATTTCATCTAAATACATTTTTAAACATTCGTGTATAGCAGAATCACTTGATGGTAGATCTCTAGCATTAAGAATTATAATATTAGGGGGTGCAATATTAGAACCAACTTCAAAATGTGACATAATTTGATTGTATATATCATTTTCATCAAAGTTTGATTGATAATTAGAAGTGGAATTTTCGTTAAATGTAAGTAAATTTTCAAAAACTGAATTAAAAATATGAAATGTTTGTTGTGAAAAATTATTCTGTCCAAAAAGTTTCTGATTTGGTTCTTGTTCTTCAAAATTTTCAGGTAATTCAGGTAAATAATATTGAAATAGCATACGTAATGTGGCGTGTGAATTTCCTCTAATGGCATCGAAAATATTACCATAACCAAATGTAACTTCCTTAAAATCCACGTTATCAATTATACCAAGATTTCAAATATTTTTTTCACGACAAATTCGGTCAGTTAGATCTACTAAAAGAGCACGAATTTTTTCCAAATTTCGTTCATGTCTTTGAAAATGGCTTGTAATATTAACAACTTCTAAAATTCCTTGCAGTGATGACAGAAGTTTTGGTTTTCGCAAAGACTCGCCATTGTTTGAGGTAACCAAATTTTCCATCACTTAAATACAATATTTAAAACTATTGAAACAAAAAAAGTGACTTGTTTGGTAATTTTTTCATAATTTAAAGATTTTAGTTGCTTTCCACAATGCTTTTTTTGTCAGTCTATAATTTTCTTTTTTGTTTCGTATAAAGTTTTCAAAAGATCATCATAGAATTGTACTAAACATAAAGGAAATGCAGTGCGATACACTTCTATGGAAGTGGGTGATTCAAGCAATTTTTTGTGAATTTTTAATTCATTTTTTGCATGTATTATTGAATGTGCTAATACTTCTCCAAATTCAAAAAAATGTTTTGGTGTAAGATTCTTAGGATTTAATTTTTTGTCAAAATTGTAATTAAATTTTGTTAAAGCAAGAATAATAAGAATTATAAATAAAGAAGGTACTCCATTGTTTATATTTTGTATTTCTAATGATGTTAGCGGAGTATTAGATTTTTCTTGAGTATTAATAATATATAAAATAGGAGTTAATTGTATTAAAACTTTTTCCTGAAATGCTGTTTTATTGGAATTAGCAATATCAAGAATCCAATGTCCAATTGCTTCTAATGCATTTTTGGTATCATTTTTATGATGCGATATGTTAATACAATTTGAATCTGTTTTTGTACCTCGTCCAACACACTGGTAAATGTGCCCACCCTTATCTTCGTAACATGTCATACAAATATATCGTGCACGTTTGCTTGATTTTGTTGAAATTATAAAAGAATGATATGCTTGCAATGCATCACATCTTATTTGTCCTATACAAGGTACTTGAATATTTTTTCCTATAACTGTATATGAATGTTCTTCACAATTAGAACTACGACTAAAAAAAATTTTATTTTTATTACAAAATAGACATCTACGATTATGGATAATACTATCAGTATAATGTTTAGTTTGCTTTAAATTCAATAAATGCAATTGATTTTGATCATATAAGAAATGTGAGTAACAAACTCCCAAATTTTCAATTGAAAATTTTTCACCTTAACTTCTTCTTCATCAATTTGTCACGTACTAACTATTTGCCAAAGTCGTCTTAATTTTGTCTCAGAATTACATCGCTGAATTTTACCATCTAATGTGTCAATTATAACACATAGACTTAAATTTTCATCACTTTGTAATTTATTAATTATTTCATCACGTTTTTCATCAGATTCTGTTTCAGAAAAATTACTTCCTACATCACTTATATCGTCCTGATCATCATCTTCTGAAATATTTTGTTGAGCCAATTTTTTTGCACTTGCAAGCATACTGAAATCTAATTCAAATAAAGATTCTAAAGATTCATTATTTTCTACACTACTTAGACTTTCATATTCACTGTAATCCTCATATTCACTGCAAAAAGTTTCGTTTAAATCCTCTAAATTCTTATAATCCAAGTTATCCTCTAAATTCATTATAATAAAAATTTCAAATCTAAAAAAAAAAAGTTTTTTTTTAAATTTTTAAATGAAAAAATACGTAATATTTTTACTAGTTTTAGTTTAAAGCTTTAAATTTCTTACTACATTTGGCAATAGCCAAGTTTCTCTTACCTTTTATTAACTTTAATATTGAAAAATACACCAACTTCTAGTGAAGATTGAAGTTGAATAATAAAGAATATGGGAATATTTTTTTAATAAGGTTGCAGAAGCGGTCAATAAGTTTATTTTTTATTATTTGAGTTTGGTCAATTATATTGCATAAATGCGGTATTACATATGACCTGAATTTTTTCATTTTAACGAAATTTAGGCCGACATTATGAATTTGGCCGGCATTATGAAAATTTTAGCCAGCATTATGAATTATTGATCAGCGATTTTAGCTGATTTAACTAATTTTGGCCAACTTTAAATTATATATATATAGTGTATATATGAAGGCAATACTGCGTCAAAAATTTCATCATCGCAAGCATATTAAAAAACATTTGCCTTTATTTTTTGTGATATTTCCAGTGACTGATAATCAAACAAATTTTTTAATTTATATTTTATATTTAAAATAATTAATTTGATAAAAAACTGATATTATATATTATTTAGAAAAATTAGATTATTATCTTAAAATATTAAAATAAATAAAAATAAATAGTTGATTGCTAGGAAAATCAGGTTCTGAGAATTTTTTAGCAAAATTGAGATTTTTATTGCATTTTAATTTTTGATATTATTAGACTAAAAATGTATTAAGCTCTTAAATTTAGTCAAGATTTCTCAGAATCAGATTTTCCTAGAAATCCTTTCATATAATATATATATTAAAAATAAAAACTAAGGTTAAATTTAAAATATAATATATATATAATTTTTAATTTATATAATAAGCTATTTTATGTAATATATATAGTTTTATTTAAAAAGAAAAAACATGTTATATCTGTTTATTATATTAAACTAAAAACACTTTAATTTAATTATTATAATATAAAGTAAAAAATAAAAATTTAGATTGATTTATTATTTTTATTTAATAAAAAAAGAGATAAGAAGTATATATACAAAAAATCAAATAATATTTTTAAAAATTTTAAATAGCTTTTTTTCTTTAATTTAAATCTTGATAGTAGATTTTTACTTAATTTTAATTACATATACATTTATTCTTTACTATATTTTTAGACTAATAATTGAATTAATTTTCTTAATGATACAATTTTTTTTTTTGTTTTACAAATATAATAATAATTATTAATTCCTATATTATTTTTATTTTTTATAAATAATATAAAAAAGAGTACAATAACTAGCTTTCTTAAAATAAATTTAAGTTAATTTATTCAAATTTTAAATTTCCAGATAATAAAAAATAATGTAATATTTGAATTCCTGTTTAGATATTATTGCCACATAGCCCGAAAAATAATAAGTGATCAACTTTCATGCATCAGGTTGAAAATAATAGTTGCAAAATTTCCCGAATTATGCGTGTTAATAATAACAAATTTAAAAAATTTAATTTCATCGCGTCTTGGTAAATTTTTTTTTTATAGTAAAAGTTAACAAAATGTCAGAATCTACTTTATCAACTAAAGGCAACAGTAATAAATCTGTTTCATCACCCATAACTTCTAAATCTCTATTTTCGTTCTTTGGCTCGCATTCTAATCGTAGTCGTCAATCTTCACAGCAACTTAGTTCTCATGGCAACGATTACAGTAAAAAAGATAAAATAATTCACCGTCATAGCTTTACCCCTTCTATAGAAGTTAAAGAGACGAACACTATGTACAAGGACTATGATCCTAATACAGGAAATAAGATGATTAACAAGTATATGCTAGTTAGAGAATTAGGCAGAGGAGTGCATGGTAAAGTAAAATTAGGAAAGGATATGGAATTAGGTGAATGGGTTGTGAGTATTTGTATTTTATTTGATTAATATAGAAGTATGACTAAAAAATTTAGTAACATATGTATTATTTATAATACAAGTTATAATTTTAATGTAAAAAATCAAAAAATCTAGAGATAAATTGGTATTTATATTAAAAAACAAAAAAAAAAAAGGCACATTTGTATTAAATAATTACATTGATTGTTAATATTAAAAATCAATTTAATTTATATACATATATAATATATAGGCTATAAAAATAGTTGATCGGATTACTCGTCGTCGTTTAGGACAACGTAATGATCTCACGAATGAACAAAAAATTAGAAAAGAAATTGCGATACTGAAAAAATGTATCCACCCACACGTCGTAAGATTAAAAGAAGTTATTGATGATCCGATGAGCAGAAAGATTTATATGGGTATGTTTGATTGTTGGATTGAAACGCAAGCAGGGTAGGAAACATTGTGGTTTGCAATAAGCTTTGGAAGGTGTTTTTTTTTAAAAAAAAAATATAAATAATTTAATTTCTTATTATTTTATTTTTTATTTTTTTTTTTTAAAAATTTTATTAATAAATAATTAAAATTTATTATTTCATTCTATCATAATTCATATTTATTTTATTTATTTCATTTTCGTGTATTCGAATCGAAACTTTCAGTAATCGAGTACATGGAAGGTGGAGAAATACAATGGAAAGATGAATACGATCGACCTATTATGAGCGTAGAGGGGGCAAGACAAATTTTTAGAGATGTTGTGTTAGGTTTAGAATACCGTAAGTGAAATTATTTATTTTCAGTTAAATCATAATTTTATAATATATTTTTAAAATGAATTTTACATATAAAGTTCACCATCAAGGAATTATACATCGCGATATAAAACCAGCCAATCTATTGCTTACGGGCGATAATGTAGTTAAAATTTCCGATTTTGGTGTATCACATTTTAGTCAAAAAAAATCGACGTTAACCTTACGTGGAAAGCATCAAACAAAAACTTCGGAAGACTCAGATTTAGCAAAGACTGCAGGAAGTCCAGCTTTTTTTGCTCCAGAATTATGTTTTCCCGGTAAATAATAAACATGTTTTGCAATTTTAGTCAATCTTTGAGATTATTAATATATTATTCTTATTTTTTAAGGTGACTTAACGCAAGACATGTCGTCTGCCTCGATTATTTCAGATAACGCATCATATTCTTCTGATCATTCTTCTGAATCGAATTCGCAGTCAAATAATGCTATCAATATGCGAACACAACGACCTCCTAAAACAAAAGCAATTGATATATGGGCACTCGGTGTGACCCTTTATTGCTTTATTTTCGGTCGATGTCCCTTTATAGCTGATACCGAATTCGAGCTATTTTTCAATGTCATTCCAAAGCAGCCTTTAGGATTTCCTGAAGGCATACCGGTATCGGATGATTTAAGGGATCTGCTTATGAAGTTATTAGAGAAAAATCCAAAGAACCGAATTACTTTGGAAGAAGTCAAGGTATCTATAAAACCCTTTGGTTTCTTTCGTTTGAAGCATTTATTTACAATTTTACACTTTTTTAGAAACATCCATGGGTTGTGGCAGATATACCAAATCCGGAGAAATGGCGCGAAGAAACAGATCCAAAGAGATATAAAGCTGTCACAGTAACTGACGAAGAAGTCAAAAGCGCCTATACTTTGAAAGTGAGTTATGATGAGATTAACCATGCCGAATAATATTTACATTCTATTTCTCTTTTTTTATATTAGGATCGGTTAAAGAAGAAATTTCGAAAGATTTCATTATCACTTGGAAACCTTACCATAGGAAATCTTCGTAAACGCTCCAAATCTATATCAGAAGGATTATCATCTTTGGGTATTTATTCTGTAGAATATTATCTTTCATTTGAAAATTTAATTTTTATAAAAAAAAAAAATCCAATTTTTTTTATTAGGATCTCCCATCTATTCACATAAAACTCATTATCAATCATCATCATCTCCGATCAATATCCTTCCATCTGACGAAAATCAAACATTGCAAGTTGCACATCAACGTCATCAAAGTCTTTACGGATCTAGTTTTCCTGAAATATACGCACGTCAAAAACACAAGGATATTGAAAATTATGTAGATGATGATAGTCCTTCATTATCATCATCATCATCTCGTTCAACCATTGCAGCAAATTCACAACAATGGGATAAGGCAGAATATTATTTATCGAGAAATTCAAGACAATTTGCAATGAAAAGACTCTCGAACAATTCACATAGTTCCTTATCTAAGAGTTGGATTTATGACGGGGAGGATAAAGAGGAGAATATAATAGTACAAGATAAAAACATTGAACATGATTCGTTAAACCATAATAAATCACGGACGGACAATGGAAAAAATAAATATTTGATGGTAATAAATAGACCAAATCCAAATTTATCAAACAATATTAATACGACGAATACGTTGGTACAACCATCGCAGACTGATCAAGGTTTAGAAACAACTAGTAGAGAAAATATAGAGATTCTTGATACCATGGATAGTGATGAAGAAGATGGTGTTGTATTTGGGGCCAATGCTTCACGTGGATGGTATACACCACAAGTTCTTAATCCGCACACTTCAAACGATCCAAACAATTCGAACAATTCTGACAATGGTACTAATTTATAAAACTAATTTATATTATTTATATTAGGGTTTTCGGCTTTTTTTTTTAATTTTTTTTTTAATAAAAACGATGATATGCCAATTTTCCTTGTTCATTCTGATTACGTCATAAATAGTAAAGATTATCGGGGCAAAAAAATAATTCACCTGTTATTGTTGAATCAAATTCGACTTAACCCGTTTTATATAATCTCATGCTTACATCCGATCCTGATTCGATGGTTTATTAATAAAACTAATAAAAAGAAATAAATAATAATATGTGATACAGAAAAAACAATGGTAATGATTGTCCTAGGCAAATCTGTGGGTAAATCAATTTCGATATAATTAATATAAAAGGAGACTGTTGAGAACAATGAGCTCCTTACTCGTTTTTTTTAAAACGAAAAAAAAAAAAAAAAAAAAAACTAAAATAAAATAAAATAAAAAAAATTGAACGCTAAAAATAATAATAATAATAATAAATAAATAAAAAAAAAAAAAAATTTTAACAAATTGGGCAATGTTAATTTAATAAAATTAAAGAATCTCGGTTTCAAAATTTTTTTTATTTTTTATTAATAAACAATTTGTTACAAAGATTAATTATGACGAAATTTCATAAATACAAATCGTTTTATGGAATTTTATTTATCTTTATAATTTTATTAAGTTTTATATCAGTCTGTGCACCGCATGATGGGAAAAATAAGTCGCCATCAGGAAAAACAAAAGGGGGAGGAAATGATGGTGGGAAAAGTCCAAATGGAGGTGAACCAACTCCAAAGGAAGGTGGAAAAGCTCCAGCCGGAGATGGAAAAGCTCCTGGCGGAGGTGGCGGCGATGGAAAGGCTCCCGGTGGAGGTGATGGCGATGGGAAGGCTCCCGGTGGAGGTGGCGGTGATGGAAAGGCTCCCGGTGGAGGTGGTGGCGATGGAAAGGCTCCCGGTGGAGGTGGTGGCGATGGAAAGGCTCCCGGTGGAGGTGGCCCAGACGGAGATGGAAAAGCTCCTGGCGGAGGTGGCCCAGGAGGAGATGGAAAAGCTCCTGGTGGAGGTACTCCAGACGGAGATGGAAAGGCTCCAGGCGGAGGTGGCCCAGGAGGAGATGGAAAGGCTCCTGGCGGAGGTGAACCGACTCCAAAGGAAGGTGGAAAATTTCCCGAAACTGCTTTTCTTGGCTATGCTCTCTTTTCAAAAGCTAAAGTCGCAACAGCAAATACACAACAAGTTAATGGTTTAATGACATTCTTTCAACCGCCGGATGGAGAAACCACAATTTCAGGAAAAATAAGTGTCCCATTAAATAAATTAGATGGAAATTATAGATTCGTTATTATGGACGGTAATCAACTTCTGCATGAATTTACTGGACTATTTGTCCCAATGTCTTTTGGTCAGGCTACATTATTTAGCTTTACTTTGAATTCGGTTAGATTAGATGGACCTAATTCTATCGTTGGAAAATATTTCACCATTTATGAATCTGATGCAATACTTACCTATGGTCTTATAGAACAAGAATTTTAAAGAATTATAAATGATTGACAAATATGTTAACTTATTTCAGTTATTTGTTTGTGATTTCAGGATAATCCATCTTCAGTAACTTAAGTAACACAAATCTATAGAAAATCTAGAAATAACTTGTCCAATTATAAAATATTTATAAAAAAAAAAACTTATTATATAATGAATTGTTTCCTTCCTAAAAATAGAAAAAAAAAAAGGAATTAGGCATAAATGTTCCGGTTTCATAATTTTTTTTACTTCAATAAAAGTTGTCTTTATTTAATATTTTGACTGTAGGAAATTTTTACTGCATTCTAAGTATTAAATAATTAATTCAATTTTTGTTATACATTATGTCCATAAATTTAATGAAAAACCTTTGGTGTGCAGTTGTCCTTTACTTTACGCTTGTCCAAGGTATATTATTTAAGTGACGTTTGCGCATTTTAAAGCAATTTTCTTCAAGAAATAATAATATAAATTTTTGAACCTTATTTGTTTCATGTAGTCGTTATCGGTCAAACTAATTATTGTATTAAAGAAGTCAATTATTGTATTACAATTACGCTAACACCAATAACCACACCCAAACATGACCAACTTGCAACTTTCCGTCTTGAAGCTCCTGCCGACGCCGGGTAATTATCATAAAATAATAATAATAATAATTTATAATTTATGAACATTTATCTAATTCCTATTTACTATTCAACTACAGTTGGATTGGTTTAGGAATTGGCGATGGTATGAAAGGTTATTTGATGGTAAGTAATGGTTACAAGGTGGTGGTTATGTTACTTCATACTGTGAATTCGAATAATTTTTTTTTTTTTTTTTTTTTTTTTTTTTTTTATGTAAAAGGTCGCTTGGGTTGACCCATTAGGTCAAATAAATCTCTCACAACGTCGAGGAGATATTGGAATTCAACCATGGATAACGGACCGACAAAATGATCTTAAACTTCTCAATACCAGTGGTATTAATGAAAATAATAGATTAATAGTTGAATTTACTCGTCCTATTAAGGTTAAACACAGCAATATTAAACGACATAAACAAAAGTTTGGATATGCTTATTGTTCGATAAATCCGGGAAGCTCTCAAGTTGATGCTTATTTAAGCCGTCACGATCACAAAGGCAATATAATCTTGAAGTTGGATGGAGCTGGAAAAGGCGAAGTTGTATGGTCCCGATATGATAAGATGATGATCGCCCATGGTGAGCACTTTGATCTTTCTATGTCACGAGTTATTTTGGTGATAGCCACGAATTTTATTTTTTTTTTTAATAATTTTAATAATTTTTAAATGTAGGTTCTTTGATGTTCCTCGCCTGGATTGTTATTATTCCCGGTGCAATTTTCATTGCACGATTTGCAAGAGATGCTCTTCGAACGACATGGTTCAAATTACATGTTGGTATTCAAATCTTTCTCTCCTTCCCTATCATCGTGACTGGTAGCGTGTTAGCTTACGTTGCTGCTGGAAAACTTGAATTTAACGATCCTCACAAGGTAAATAAATATCATCGAGTATAATATAATTGATATCATTTATTCACTTGATTCCTTACGTCATTATCATCTCTCATTTAGGTCATTGGATTCGTGCTTCTTCTTGGAATTGTTATACAATTAGCAATTGGTGCAATTCATCATAAATTGTTCGATCCAAATCGCCCTTACACTCCATGGTGGACTCAACTTCATTGGTGAGTTAATAATATACCTTTTTTAAAAAAAATATTAATAATGGTGATTATGATAATTACTTATTTCTTCTTTATTCCTAGGTGGTTTGGAAGAGCTTTAGTTTCATTGGCAATTATTCAAGTTCCGTTTGGACTTAAACTCTATGGAGCGAAAAAGGTCTATCTCTATATATATTTTGGTTATTTGTTCATCCTTATGGTTGCATTTTCTTTCTTATCTTTCCGATTATGGAATAAATCTCGCGGTCAAGATAATGGATTTAAACGTGTACAAGAAGGAAGTGATGAAAAATTAACCTTGTAATTAATTTAGATGAAAGAATATTATAAATCTAAAAGTTATGTTAAAGTTGTCGTGTATTTTTTTTTTCTTTCTCTTTTCTTTTTCTGTCTTTTAAAAATATAACAGACTTTTTATAAAAATAATTTTTTTTTATTAATAAAAAATATATTTCAAACAATGTAATAAAACATTACTTAAAATATCTATCGGAAATTTTAAATAAATCAGAGAAAATGCCAAATGCAGTTACAGCAGCTCCGGCACCAGCTCCTTGAATAATCAAAGGATTAGGAAATCTTTGAGTAGTAAAAGCAATAATATTATCACTACCTTTAAGTGAAGCAAAAGGATGTGAAGATGGCAAACTAATTTTCAAAGAAATGTAAAATGTAAAATGATTAGTATCATTCCTGAGCAGGATTTATCAAATTTAAAATAAAATATATTGATTTGATATACCTGACCAATTTGACTTCACTTTTATCACCAATGGGATCAATAACACCAACGTATCTTAATACTTGTTGATTATTATTTGCAGTAGCATTCAATTTTTCAAAGTGTTCATCAAATTGTGGTAATGATGACATGAATTCTGTGGCACTTGATAAGGTGCGCAATGGCTCAGGAACTACATTTTCAACGGGTAACGTTTTTAAGGATAAATCTTTTCCTGCTAATCTACCTAAAATGACAACCTTGGTGGAACAAGAAAAGAGAGAGAGTTATGAAGTAATATAGTGAAGGTGAAAGTGATATCGCCATGATATTCATTTATTACCTTACGAGCAACGTCTAATCCGTTCAAGTCATCGCGCGGATCTGGTTCCTAAATAAGTGGCAGATCAAACATAAGATTTACCGTCTAATTTGGCAAAAATAAAAATAAAAATAAACTTATAATACCCACGGTATAACCATTTTCTTTGGCAATCTTCACAATTTCCGAAAATTTCTTTTTTTCACCATCAAACTTGGAGAATTCATTGAAAATATAACTTAAAGTACCCGAAAAGATCCCTTCAATTTTAATTACTTTATCACCGGTCCTTATTAAATCCGTCAAAGTGCTTAATACAGGTAAACCGGCCCCTACGGTACTTTCATGGTATACCAAACTTTTTTTTTCCCTAGACTTTTCTATGATCTCTTTATACAATTTTAAATCCCCGCTAAAAGCTTTTTTATTTGGTGTAACGATATGTAAACCTTTTTCTATGAAAAGGGGATAGGAATTCGCTATTTCCTGTGATGATGTATTATCAATTACTATGGATGGAGTTGGAGCTTCACTAAGATAATTGATAAATGATGTTAGGTCTGATTTGGTGCCTTTAGTGTTTAAATCATTTTTCCAGTTTGATAAATCAAGTGGTGTGTGTGAGTTGCTTAAGAGTTGTTTTGTGGAATTAAGTAAAGCGATCACTTTAAAGGACTTATTATATGCGGATAATTGAGTAATTAATTCAGACCCTACTAATCCTACACCAATAATTCCAATATGAACCATCTTTGCTAAATGATAAAGGATTTTTTAAATTAAAAAAAATCCAGATTATCAAAAAATTTTTTCAAATAGTGCGATTTGCGATATATGATACCCGGGTACTTACATTCTAATACACGCAATATAATACCCTCCCTCCTGAAATAGTCCCCCCCCCCCCCCGATTAGTATCAGGGTATAATTCATTCGCAAAATGTTTTTAATAAGATCATTACTTTAAATTTTTGTCAGATCAATAATTTTATCATAAAAATATTTAGAATATTTGATTAAAATAACAGTTAATAATTAAAAGATGATTAGATTTATGATAATATGATAGCATATTTTATTATAAAATATTGCAATAACATAAATGCATTTTCCTATATATTACTATATTATTTATAAAAAAAAGAAAAATAAAATTCAATTATCCCACATATTGTCATATTTTGAATCCCTATAATATTGATCTTCATTAATTTTATTTTCTTTAATATTATTTCTATTTCATCACTTAATTGGATTGACTTTTCAAGAAAATTAAAATCAAAAATTAATTCATTCTCATTTTCATCCTGATTATTAGAAATACCATAATACTTAAAAGATCTTTGAATTAAACTATTATCAATAGCATTTTATGATTTATCAATCCAATCTACAACCATTTTATATAATGGTCTTTCAATTATACTAGCAGGTATTAATTCTTTTACTGATTTAACTATCCAACTATTATGATTTTGTATCTATAAAATTTAATTATTAAATTAATTTAGAATTAAAATTTTAAACTTAAATAAATTAATTTAAAATAAAATAAATCTTATTTTTAACTTAAATGACTTATTTATTAATATATCTAAAAGTTGCAAACATAATGTTAATCCTTTAGAAATAATAGTAATATTAGTATTTTTTAATTAAAATTACAGAATTAACAGTATATGTTAAAAAAGAATCTAATACAAATAAAGACTGTAAATTAAAGAGTATTACACATTTAACTTAACTAATATAATACTTTACTTTTATTCATCTATCCTATTGGATTAGCTTTTACAATAATTTTAGGTAAAAAATTACATCTTTAAGTTTAAAATTTACAAGAGAAGAAAATTTGATTTTATCAACCATATAAGTTAAAATTACTATAAAATTAGTTTTCTTATATTTTGTAATACAAATGCTAACAGAACAAACTCTTGATTTATTAATACAGTCAACTTTTGTTATAATGAATTCTATGTTCTAAACCTCAATTTCACTATAAGGCTATAGTGAAGATTTAAGAGATTTGATTGGTCAATTCATTATAACAAGAGTATTTTTATTATATTTGTTCAAAAAATTCATTATATTAAAAGTTCACTATATCAAAAGTTGATTGTAATAGTATTACTTGACAAATTAAATATCATTAGCATTTTATTCATATTTTCAATTAAACTAATAAATAATCATATTAAATATATTGTTATATAATAAATATCAAAAATTCTTACTGTTTCTTAATTAAATCATTAAGTAAATATTATGCAATTGTAATATAATAACTATTACTTAATTATTTTGATTCATAAATTCATTTAACCATTTATTACTAAAAGTAAAAATCTGAATATTAAAACACATGATTTGCTAATCATACTGTATTATTACATAATTAATTTAGCTTTTAGTTGTATTAATAGTTCATGAAATAGCTTGCAAATTATTTTTTTTCTTTAATCCATTCAAATAAAGCAATTTCTAAAGTAGAATATTTTGGGAATAGATCTGTATTTAATTTTTTTACACTTGATTAAACTCTTAAAAGCTTTCATCTTTACTTTTATTTATCAATTTATCAATCTTTGTCTTTTTATTTTAATACTTACTTTTGCTTGTTAGGAAAATACACAAACTTTTTTAATATCTATTATTTTAAATATACTATCATTACATTACTAGTTTTGTCTTTTTTGATTTATAATTTATGTGCTATAAAATCTTTGTCAATTTAAGTGAACAAGGTTTAAAATATTTTATCATCTTTTTTCATATTAATGATATAAATATCCATTATACTTAAATCAATTTAGCAATTTATTATATTTTAGAATTTAAGATATATTTAGTTGAATTTATAATGATGAACTCAAAGACAAGTTAATGTAGAGTATTATAATAAATCCTAAATGAAAAACAACATTGAAGGGAAAAAGTAATTTTATGTAGATTTAAATTAATTTCTTTATTAATTAATACCTTGAAACTTTATGAAATTTACAAATAAGTTAATTTATAACTTGAGCAAAAAGCTATTTTATTTATACAAAATTAATTTGCTATAACTAACTACTTATTATACTATTAATTAACTAAATATAAATATATATTTTAATAAAAATCTACTTAAATGTAATAGAATAATAAAAATAAATATAAACTATAAAAAAAAAATAAAAAAAATAAAATAAATTATAAATATTAAAAAAATTATATATAAAATAGAATAAACAGAATAAATAGGCTATACAAAAGAAACAAAAGAAATAGGTAAATTTTGCAAATCCTACAAATTAGATAAATCATTTTGATGTTCTAATGCAGTCTGTTAATCAATTTTGATGATGTAATTTAAGATCTTTCTTAATATGATATATATAAAATTACACTGGCCTACCATAAATTATTAGAATTTTAGTCACATGAATCAGCATTCAGTTTCACAATCGATGATTTTACCCTATTGTACACTTCTCTAATATGGGTCACAGAAATTTTTTAAAATTATAGATGATCAATAATAATATTAATTTTTTCACGTATTATGTATAAATTGATTGGCATAAATAAAGTAATACAAATTTTTTTTATTTTTTTCAGGGAAACGTCCTCTATTTTTTAAAATAAAGAGTTTTTTTTTCCTTCCTTTTTTTATTTATTATGAATAAAAATCGACAAGAACTAACAGACAAAGAAAGGAACCAAATTATCAATGCTTGAAAGTATAGTGTGCTGATTCCTACTATTATAAAAACTCTAAAATTTGAAAAAAGTACTGTCTATAAGATTATTAAGTTTTATAAAAAAACTGGTGTAATAAAACCTCCTCTACAATCTGAACCACGACCTAAACTAACTAAAAGAGATACACACCATCTTATTCATTTATTAAAAAAAGATAGAAAGTCTTCCTTAAATGTTTTAACTAATAAATTTATCGAATCAACCTCTACTAATATTTTCTCGCGTACTACAATGATATCTTCATAAGGAGGAATTTTATGATCAGGTTGGTAAAAGAAAATCTTTTGTAAATAAAAGGAATTATAAAATACGTTTGGACTGGACACAAGAACAACTCAACTGGAATGAAAAATGAAAGTTCATTGTTTAGAATGATGAATCACAGTTTGAAGTATTTGAAGGAGATGGCTGTAATTATGTTTGAAGGAAACTCAAAGAAAAATATGATGTTGATTGTTTGATTCTAACATTTAAATCAGGTTGTAAGGGTGTAATAGTTTGGGGATGTTTTGGTCAATTTGGATTGAATCCTTTAGTCTGTATTCATAGTAGACAAAATGCAAATTATTATATTAATATCTTAAATAACCATTTGTTACTTTATTTAGAAGGAATAGATAATCAAAATAATTATATATTTTAACAAGATAATACTTCAATTCATCAAGCAACTACAACTTTACAATGGATTTCACAAAATAATATTGATCAACTTTTTTGGCCTGCATAGAGTCCTGACCTCAATCCTATTAAAAATATTTAGGATGAATTAGAAAATCATATTCGTAAGCATGTTCCTTTGCCAAAAAATGAAACAGAATTATTTGATTTATTGCAGGATGAATGGATTAAATTAGATGTTACAATTATATCAAAATTTGATTGAAACTATAGGCCAACGTGTTCAAGTTATAGTTAAAGCTAAAGGATATCTTATATGATATTAATTGATATTAATAAATTTAATTGATATAATTTTTCAAATAAAAAAAATTGGGTATTGATCAATATGTAACTTTTTGAAAAATTTAGAATTAAAAATCTATAAAAAATTAATGTATTTAATATTATTAAAAATTTTCCTATGACCTGTGTCAAGGAGTGTACATATAAACAAAAAAAAAATAAATTATTTTTTGTTTCTCTTCTAGTTTTAAATGCATGGAAATGAACTATTAAAACCTAACGTAAGTGTATTATTGGTGTTTATTTGAGTGATATTAGGCAAAATATTATTTTAATTCAACTTGATATTCTTACCAGTATAATAAATGATACAATTAAAAGATACAAAGAAACAGGTTCTGCAGCACTTAAAAAATGTTCTAGACGTCCAAAAACCCTCTTTCAATGTGATACTCAGGCTTTACAACGCATAATTTGTACTGATCAGTTTTCTCCCTTGGTGATATAACAAATAAACTAAACTCTAATTTTAACATAACTTTACATAACAGTACTATTAGAAGGTATTTTTATTATATGGGTCTTAATAGTTATTCTATACGTAAAAAATCTCTTTTGACTGAAAAACAGTGAAATGATTGTTTAAGATAATGCAAAAAAAAAAGAAACTGAAAAGAAGAATGAAAACAAATGATATGGTTGGATGAGTCAAGATTTGCTCTTTTTGAGTCAGATGGCTGAATAAAAGTATAGAAAAATCCTAGTAAAGCATATAATAACAATTGTATTTAACTTACAGTTAAATTTAGTAGAGGATCAGTAATGTTTTAGGGTTGTTTTGGTTGGCATAGAATTAGACCTTTAGTTGTAGTAGATGGAAATATGGATTCTGATAGTTATATCAATATTTTAGCTAATCATTTTATACTATAGGTTAGTAATTATTCTAATTCTATATTTCAGCAAGATGGAGCCTTATGTTACACATTAAATTATAGTGTTTGGTGTATGAGAACATATAATATTCCAGTATTAGATTAGGTAGCACAAAGTTCAGATCTCAATCCAATTGAAAATTTGTAAAATTATTTAAACTA